TGTGTGTTCCATAACACATTTAATATTATGGAATGGGTGTATCTAAAATAGATTGAAACATTTAACATTCTGGATGCAGAGTTTTGGAACACACTTTTAACTAGGAGTGTTCACCGGTCATGTTGGTTTGAGTTTGAATAAAAATCCAATCCAAAGAAATTAAATATAATTTGTTTAGATTTCATAATTATTTTTTGCTTAACCCAAATTAAACCAACATGATCAACATTGGGTTGGTTTGATTCAAGTCATCCAACTCCCTTTTTTTTCAAAGTAAATAGATTTTTCAACATTAACTAAATTAATATATTACAAAAAAAACTAACTAAACTAATAAATTTACAATATAGTTCCCCTTGGTTTCTTTGATAAATCTACTTAAAGGATTCAAATGCACTATAGTGTATAAAGATGACATTTAATATATTACAATATAGTTCTTCTTGATTTCTTTAAGTATTTGAGAAAATGAATGAAAACAAATCTAAATATTGTAACACAAAATCATCTTCAAAATAATCAAAACGATACATACATATTAATAAATAAAAAATAAGAAATCCCTCCTTACTCTTTGTGATCGAATCACATTATAAGATAACATTTGTACAAATTAACTTAGTTATAAACTAATTTTAACTTACGAAAAATCTCATTTCATTTTTTTCTTCTTATTTCTCTCTCCTATAAGTACTTCTAGGAAGGTTTACTCAAACAGACCTTTAGTAAATCTAGGCTTATCTAGAATTTTTAAACACTAAAGGTATATATTATGAATAAGTTAAAAAATAAAATTTAGAAAAGCTGATAGGTGATACCTGTTACAAATTGATAGGTGATACCTGTTACAAATTAGCTAATGTATAAGTTAATTTTAGCACATGGAAAAGTTTATTACATTTTTTTTTCCTAAGTTTCTCTTCTAAAATTGTTTATAAAAAAGTTTACCTAAACAAACCTTATAACTTCACAGCTGAACATGCCCCGCTCCTCTGCCCTTTGACCTCACAAAGTCTAGTTTGGATATCAACTTCAATCTGTGCCTGTGGCTAAAATTGTCTCTAGGTTCAGTGTGTTGCACTTTTGAATAGTCTTGATGAATAAACGAAATCAACCAAGCTTTTGCTCTTCTTAGTTGTACTATATAGGCCAGTCGGAAGGGGCAAAAACAAATAGTTTTTATGGAATCAAGTCCAATCTATAGTGCATCGTTAAAGAAAAAAATTCGGTGTCATTGAATTCACAGTCACTAAATCCACTACCGCAACAAGCACAAGAAATTCAAAAACAATTCCCTATGTAAGACAAATATCAGGAGCAATCAATAGCTGATGCCCAACTAGGATTACTAACCTCATATCTTCAAGAATAATGCTCATCGATATGTCAAAAACATGGCATGTGAATAATTATGAGTTAAACATCTTTTTTATCCTCCTAAATATGGAAATGTCTGTTTTTCATCCCCCAATTTTAAAATGTCTACTTTTGGTCCTCCATTTTTCAAAATGTGTCAAAATTTACCCCATTCCTAACTCCATTTACTTAATTTAACGATTATCCTAGTCAACAAAATACATGTCTTCACATATGTTTATCTAGGATCTATGTATGCTTAAGTGGTCTAAGGCTCATATATGGTATTTTAAATCTCCAAAACATAATGTTCCATTGCATCCCATGTTAGGGTTTTTATTCCCAGACATTTTTCTTCATCTACCAGTTACTTACTATTACTAGTTCGATTCTTGTAGTATTAGTGTTCAACATTTCTTTTCTTGAAGCGATTAAAGAGAATGAGTTTACATATTCGTAAGATACTCATTAAATTGAGATAACGATGTTAGTTAAGGGAAGCAAATTTTGACACATTTTGTAAAATGGAGGATCAAAAGTAGACAGTATTAGTTAGAGGGATAAATTTTGACACATTTTGTAAAATGTAGGACCAAAAGTAGATGTTTAAAAGTTGGGGGACAAAAAATGAACATTTACATATTTAGGAGGATGAAAAAGATGTTTAACTCAATAATTATTAACCCAAACTAGAACATGGTTAGATGTTTATTTGCGCTAATTTCATAAAGGACAACTATCCTTGTACACTGAGGCGCTCAAGAAAGCAGTTGGACAAGTTCCTATGGATACAAACCTTCCATCTGTTTAGCAAGGTACCACAGAAAGATATAAACCCACAGCATATTAAGCAACCACACAAGGACTCACCAGGGAGCAGCAGTTCATCTGGTTCTTTTGCATTAACAAGAAAAACTTCCAAAGGAAGCTACTTGGGAAGATTCCTCCAATACCCGGAATCAATTTCCATAATTTAACCTTGAGGACAAGGTTGTTTTGGAGGGGAGAGGTATTGTTAGAATCGAGACAGATACAAACTTCAAGGGAAAAGGGCCTACACAGGTATTATATGAAAAGGAAGGGGTCAAAGTTTAACAGACTGGTAGGAGGTTAGGAGGGTTAATTAGTTCAATTTTGTATTCCCTATAATTAAGCCATGCGTCAAGAAGTGAGGGGAACTTTTGAATATTTTGTAAAACTGGACAGATTCCAGTTTAAAGGTGAAAGCTTCTTTTGGGTACATTTGTATACCTTGGTTTGTAATCAGTTTTCTGCAGTAAATAGAGGAAATTCATAATATTTTTCTGTGTGTGCACTTGTTCTTTGTTAGGCTTTATCGTTTCTTGCTCTAAAAAGATCCTACCAGAATGGTACTCGTCGAAATTATAGGGATTTAAATGAAGGAAAGAGTGATATAAAAAAGACTA